TTGACAATTGTCATTTGTTCATATATGTTGAGGTCAAAATGATGATGAACTTAGGTGAGAATAATTTATTTATTCCCTACTGTTTCCCTTCCAGATAAGCATTTATAAAGAGAGCAAGCGAGAGAGAGAGAGGGAGAGAGAAAAAAACAGAGAGAGAAAAATGAGAGAGCAAAAAAAAGAAAAACTTTGTGATACAAAAATGGATTAATAATATTTGACTACTTTACTACTCATCAAACTTCTTTCTCATACTCATACTACTTCACCTTTTATTATTACTTATGCAAATGATCACTGTAGGAAATAAGAAGTAAGAGGGAAAGGTTAAAGGTTGATGAGGATTATTGTTTGAATATAATTAAAAATGATCCACTTGTATTTCAATAAGTGTATACTTTTTAAGCTTTCCTTAAATTAGATTAATACAATAGTATGTAATCTTTTTTTCTTCTTTCTTTAATGTTTTGTATGATATTTATCTATTTTCATTATTTACAACTAATAATAATTATTATCTGTCAATTTCAGATTTAAAATTGTGCAAATTTTTGTCGGTTTATTTAATTATTAATTATTTAATAAGATTCAAATAAATATTTTATATACAATTTTAATTATATATTACAAAGAAAAAAAAATGTAAATTAATTTGCAAATTATTATCATTATTATTTTTAATTTTATCTATAAATTATTGTTCAAAAATTGTAGTAGAATTTAATCAAAGTTACTTTTAGAAAAAAAAACAATTTTACTAAAGTTTAAGGGATAAAATTTCAAGGTCCATTAAGCGAAGTATATGCCTAATTAGCAATTACAATATCTATGACCCCGAACAAACGGTAATTTTGTGATATTCTTATGATAGTATGTAATTACCCAAGAAATACAGCTGCCATACATTAGCAATAGCTAATTTCTGATCTCATCATCATCAATATGAAATGAAAATTGCAATAAATTTTATTTCAAATCATTTGAAAAATTCTTTTTTCAGTTTATTTAAACAAATTTTCAAAACAAATATATTTTAAGCTCGAATTTACTTTTCAACATAAGTTAATTTAACTCATTTCGTTCAGTTCGTTTTTTTTTTTTTTTTTTTTGCTTTTGTTGAAAAAATTTTATACAAATTTATTTTTTTTTTAATTTGTTCTTTCTTTCTTTTTTTTTCTCTCACATTATTTATCATACTCTTTTCTTTTTTTTTTTTTTTTTTTTTTTGTTTATTTTTATTCTTTTTAAATTGATTAATATTTTCATAAAAATATTCAAAATTCATTTCTATAATTAATTTTTACTTTGAATATTTATCATATTGAATGAATATGAGATTGTAATGATAATTAAGAAAAGAGAAAAAAAAAGAAATGAGGCAAAGATAGAATTAAAATTTACATATTGGATCTAAAACTGATAGTACTTATTTGTTATCGATGAAGCAGAAAAGAGAGAGTATTAGGAAGAGGATAGCTAAGGCAATGTTCCGTAATGCAAATCCGTCACAGCTGTCTCCATCATTTTAGACATCATTTGTGTATTTTTTTTCCCCTTTCTCCCTTCTTATTTAATTCTTTGAGAAAAAAAGGGAGAGAGAGAGGGAGACGGAGAAAAAGAGAGAAAACGAGAAGAATTGAAATTAAAAAAAAAAAAAAAATTTGTTTAAAATATACGAGAAAATATCTTTAAGGAAAAAAAAAAACATTTTTAGTTGACCATAAATAATTGATCATAAATAATTGTCATTTTACTTGACAAAAATCAATTCTTCACAATCTAAAGAGCAAAATTTTAATTTGTTCATTTCTTTATGATCAAATTATATTTAAAATTGTAATTTAAAGTTGTTTAATCTTTTCATCATAGCAATTTATTAACAAACGTGCAAAATATTTTCATTTTGACTAATTAAATTGAAAAAAAAATGATTTTTCAGTGGCATTTTCTTTTTTTGCCTTTTTTTTTTTTGGTAAAAATTTTTAAAATAAAAAAAAATATGTAAACAATGAAGGAAAAAATGAATGTATGACCACATATAAGTAAAAATTAAAAATAATAATTAATTATAAATGTTAGAAAAAAAAAAGTGGAAATGATTGTATATCGTATAAAACTAATAAATAATTTATTGCTCAGTGATGAAACAATTTGTAAAATTTTTGCACTGATTATTTTATAATTTGCAAGAATAATTCTTGTCAAAATATATTCCTTTGGTATATTATAACGAAATGAGCTACCTGTAAAATGAGCTACCTACAGAATCCAATTCCTTGGCATACTGTAATGAATGAATGAAACAAGCTACACTCAGAATCAGGTTGTTTGGCATACTGTAATGAATAAGTAGAAGAAACTATCTTCAAAATCTATTTCTTACGTACACTGTAATGAATAAGTGAAATATCTACTTCCAGAAAGTACTTCGGCATACTGTAATGAATAAGTGGAATATCTACTTCCAGAAAGTACTTCGGCATACTGTAATGAATAAGTGGAATATCTACTTCCAGAAAGTACTTCGGCATACTGTAATGAATAAGTGGAATATCTACTTCCAGAAAGTACTTCGGCATACTGTAATGAATAAGTGGAATATCTACTTCCAGAAAGTACTTCGGCATACTGTAATGAATAAGTGGAATATCTACTTCCAGAAAGTACTTCGACATACTGTAATGAATAAGTGGAATATCTACTTCCAGAAAGTACTTCGGCATACTGTAATGAATAAGTGGAATATCTACTTCCAGAAAGTACTTCGGCATACTGTAATGAATAAGTGGAATATCTACTTCCAGAAAGTACTTCGGCATACTGTAATGAATAAGTGGAATATCTACTTCCAGAAAGTACTTCGGCATACTGTAATGAATAAGTGGAATATCTACTTCCAGAAAGTACTTCGGCATACTGTAATGAATAAGTGGAATATCTACTTCCAGAAAGTACTTCGACATACTGTAATGAATAAGTGAAATATCTACTTCCAGAAAGTACTTCGGCGTACTGTACTGAATAAGTGAAATGAATTACTTTCAGAATCTACTTCTTTGGCATACTGTAAAACAAAGAATGATAAATGACGTGAGATGGTCATTTGTGACATTAGAAGATGTCACATTGAATAATAATAAGTGATTTACATATTATGCATCTAAAAAATACAACAAAATAATGAATTGATGGATCAAATAATTAAAATAAGAAATGGATATTTTAACTGTACAATTTGATAAAACAATTTGAAAAGAAATGAATTAAATTCTTTAATTTAGCTCATTCCTTTTTTTCTTTTCATTCATCTATTTTTTGGATTTATATTTTTGAAGATTTCATTTTTATATTATTATATAAAATTATTGAAATGATGTTATTAGCATAAGTAAACACTATTAATTAACATTTTGTGATACAGTAATATCTTTTTGAGTCGGAATATTCCTTTGACAAATCGTTTGATAAACGTACCACTTAATTAGCTTAAACAGCTTTATGGAATCATATTACGATGATATTGTGGAATATTCGGATCATTCTTTCATGCTTCCTTGCAAAATTGCAAAATCTGCCATTCAAAAATTGAATCTATATTCAATCAATTCCTGAATTTGGATTATTTCGATGAAATCTTACATCTTAAAGTTTTTTTTTTTTTAAAAGAAAAAAAGCAAATTTAAAAAATTAAAAAAGACAAAAAAAAGATTTTTCAAAATTTATAAAACAAAACAAAAAGAAAAAGTCCCTGATATGTATAATAATCATTGCTTTTTTCATCTTGTCAATAGATTATAATCCTAAATTATTTATAATAGTAGAATACTACGAGCAAATATTTACGAATTCAGCTGAAATATTTCGATGCATTTAAATGATACAGATAATCCTTTAAACGTATGTCCGCGCACGTCAAATAATTTCATCAAAATTCTCGTTGTCGGTTCTATTCGTCCTCTTTTATGCTTTGTCATTGCTCAATCATCAGGCAAATATATTTATTGTTCCGATCATAAAAATAACGAATCAAAAGTAGTTAAACATCAAGTAAGATAAAGTGAATATAATTACAACTGGCTATCAAATGTTTATGAGTAAAAATATGATAAATTAAAGTAAGAGGAATAAATGAAAGTATCAGTTGGTTAAATAAGATATGTTGTTTAAGCAATTTAAAAGTATGTTGGAATAATTGATGGAAGAAGTTCGGTATAAGAGTGATTTTGAAATAACAGAAAAGTTAAGTACACAATTTTTTACTACAATGATTTTATAAGTAACAATTATATTTGTTTCAAAATTAGCATAATTCACATGATATCACTGGAAAATAAATGCAGTAATACAAATTGTTATGCAAAATCACACTATTATTTTTCATTCAAACCAAGATATAAATAAGATTTACAAAAACAGCCCTTAACATATTTTGATTTTGAAGGAAAAAAAAAAGCAAACAAAAACTTCTAAAATACATTTTGATATCTCAAAATAATTTTAAACTTGTACTGGTGGTAGAGAATTGAATTAAATCGCTCTTTATTTGAGAAATTAAACTAGACCATTATCAAATCACCAAAAAGAAAAAAAAAATATCACTGACAAAAAGAAATGAAGTTATTATGACAAAAAGAAATGAAGTAAATAAAGCGATTAAAAAGAAAAATTAAACCATAATTTGAATGATATTACTACCCAAATGATGTCAGCCTCTCAATTCTCATTGCACTACTCTCGATCGATATTAGTGAGACTAAATCAAAAGTAAAATAAGTGAGTTATTCTTCAGGTATTGATTGGAAGACATGAATGATTTTTCACTTGATACATTAAGCTATTTAACCAGATTTTTTAGAATTTTTTTCTGCTCCTCTATCTTCAAGATCACTTCATGATCTAGGCATAAAAAAAAAGTTAGATCGAAATCGATTATTATATTCCAATTAATATGATATCGTACATTATTTGATAAAAATAATAACAATCTCATGAAATTTCAAATTCTATGTAGGACTTAATCGCTGTGGAGGTGCAGATATACGTTTTGTGCTTCTCATTGATAGAACATCAACCTGAAATGATTTAAATTTCGAAAGCATCCCTAATTTTTTTTTTTTTAAGATGATAACAGAAAAGATATGATGTCAATATAATTTTTCATGTTGCGGATGACATTAAATGTAAAATCTATTTGAAAAAGCAACTTAATGATGCTTTTCTTCTAACCCCTACAAACTTCATATTTGTTCAAGAGAATAAAATTAATTAGTCAAATCTATTTTTATCATAATAGGTGTAAAGGAACGCTACGGTACCGAACAGTAGGTAAGGAAATTACAATCGATAAACTTCACAAAAAAGAGTAAAATGTCAAGATCATTGCTAGTACTTTCGTGAATACTATACATTGCAATAAATTAATTTAAAACAGCTCTAATATTTTTTCGATATTTACGATATGTTCAAAGTTTACTACAACATACTTGCAAAGGGTTCTGTTGAATTTTCTGCATTTTACCATTCCTAGCTTCTGCTGTCCTTTTTGAATCATCTCGAGCAAGAAATATTGGCTGGTTCGAAAGCTAAAACATACAAATTTCAATTACTTTTCCAGTTTCTATCGACAATCATTTGCGCAAAAAGAGATAGTTATAATTGCAAAATTGTTTTGAAAAAAAAAAATTAAGAAAAAATACAGAAAAGAAAAATTATAATAAAACAAACAATTTCGGAGGGAGGCGCATCCTGTCCATTTGAAGAAACATCAATAGTTTCATCATCTACATCTAATCCTTCCAATTCGTTGGCATTTGAAATTACTAGATTATCTGAAATTATGCTAATATTAATTTCAGATCTGATAAAAACACAAAACAAATCATTAAAAAGCAGCACTAACGCTAAGATAGAGATGGAATAATAGTTTTTCGAATAATTAAAAAATTACTGCACGAACAATCATGGAAGAAAAAATGTTTAAACTAATCAAATTATAGAAAGGATTTTACCTTTTTTTTTTTGGGATTTGAGAGAATTTTACTTTTTTTCATAATTTGAGAGAAAGAAAACAGAATTAGTTCCGACTTTGTCATTCTTAAATTTACAAAGAGATTATCCTAAGAGTCTCATATAAGAAAATTAAAAAATTTCACAATGTCGCGAATTGAACAGTTATACTTCACATTCATATGAGAGATAACTTCAACAATAATTTTAATGCCATATTTTGTATAGGTCCGTTTCAGTTGAAGATTGTAGGAAGTTGCAAAATGATTCTCGAAGTGTTATTAAAATTCGATTGATTACTATGCTAATATAAACATATCATTCAAACAATAAATTTAACAGAAATCAAAATTGAAAACCTTTCGGTTCATAGAGTTCCACTGCTTGATATCCATATGAACGATCAGTAGGAATCCTCTGAAAATATCAAAATATAAATAATTCATGAAAAATATGGAAGCCTAAAAACCTAAAAGACGTAAGACGTGACACAACTAACCGAAATCATTGGATTTCCATCATAAACAAAATTCGAATAATAAGCGTTACCATACTGAACCTACAACTGCATGATGAAATTCAAATTTCTTAGAATATGATGTGAAAAATTTGAAGATGTAAAGAATTTCAGTATTTCAACAAGCATAATTTCACTTCTGAAAATGTACACGCTAATAAGATAATATATTAAAATTTGACCTGCAATCTTCTTCTTTTAGATGAAAATGCTCCAACATCATAATCGAAGTGAACATTACTCTGCTGGTCATCTCGTCCTAATAATGATGAAGTTGCGCTCGATGAACTTGGAAATAGTTCAATATAACGACCTCCTATAATTATAAAACAAATTTTTTCATTGAGATTTATATACATGGAAAAAGCACAAAGTATTTAAAAACACACACAAACACACATAAAATGCTTTAGGATAAACCTTGAAAAACCCAACGAGAGCTTGAATGATCGACTTCAGATTTCATTCGCTTCGGTACTGCAAGCAATCTAGAAGTATGGTCAAATTATAATTTATTACTGACACAATAAAAAAAAAAAAGAAAAATGACGTTTAACTAACAACATAAACTTTTTTTCGGAAACATTTACAAAAGTGAAAATAATATTCTAAAAACCTATTTTATTAAGGAAAATATTACGATGTATGATCATATGATTCTCATAAAATATAATCTTAAAAGATAATGGAAAATTCATACCTTCGTTCTCCACCTGCTGCTAATTTAAGTACAGGTGCAGCTAGGTTCTGAAAATATGCACATTAAAAAAAAAAAAGAGCAAATCTCGAAATTCTAATCAGCTTTCAACGATATATACCATTCGAAAGAAAAAATTAATGTGATAATCAACTATGACAATAATAACCTAACCTTTGGGCGCAACATTGGTGGTGCTTTTATACGAGAATGATAAAGACAATTCATTTTAAGTCGTTGGCAACAAACTTGTGACAATTTATATGGACAATTTTGATTATAAGCTAACTCGCAGAAATCATAACCGCATTTACATTGAAATTCTAGTTCTCGACGCCTTACTGCAAATAATACATCATTAAAAATATCATCATTGCATAAAATGATAAATATAGTTTTGGTGTCAATTTTTTTAAAACAAAATCTATTTTTTTATGCAACAAACTCAATTTAATATAATAAATGTATTATAATAATAAGGATAATAAACATACCGACATTTCTACGTCTTGCGAGATCAGCAGTAGAAGGAGCAACATCATAGGGTGAAACCCAAGCTGATAAAGACCCTAAAAAATTTAACTTGTTTCACTGGAATAATTTTAAACTGATAAGAACTGAAAAGAAAAAAACCAATACGGATATCAAATTTTTAAACAAATTCAAAAAAAAAATAATAAAATTTACTCTTTTTTTTTACTAAAAAATGAATTCATACGTCAAAATTAACCCTATATTACGCAACAAATGATTATAATAATATTTTCTTTTTTTTTTTTGCAAAAAATAAACATAAATGAAATTAACCTTCACCGGGCCATTGATCTGGTGGAAGATGATCAATATCAATGATATCATTCCAGTAGCATACTTTATACATAAAATCCGGATTCTGATAATCCACTTCAATAATACTTGCACGATAATAATTTGACTCATTGTGACGCCTTTTTGGACGATCAATATATGCTTCGTCTTGTTCAAAATTACGAAGCTATAATGAATTCAATAATTATCTTTCACAAAGAAAGAATAGTAAAAGTTTAATAAAGTAAAGTGGAATCATCAATCTAATAGTTCATCTCTTTTAAAATATTGAGGTGAACAATAATCAAAAAACTTACATACACACAGTCACCAACTTCATACAAATAACCAGTACCCGGATCGACAACATGACCTGAATCATTGAATTTTGCTGGATAACGGCCAAGTATGCAGGAAATTTTAGCACGATTACTAGATACTTCGCTTAAATACACATTAGCTAATCGTTCCTCAACTTCAGGACGTCGTGGAAGTGTAGTAGAACGTATCAGACACATTTCCTGAATTTTATAAAAAAGCTTAAATTCTGAATAACATTTTTCTTTTCTGATCTTATAAATTGAATCAATAGAACGGCATAGGCTTAACTGAACAAAACAAAGAAATGCTAAATATGAAAACAAAATAATCAGCCTAAAGAAAAATAAAAAAATAAAAGAAGATAAATTTATAAGATTTAACTTGTAAATTTTCAGTTTAAAAACAAGATAATTGACTTACTGTTGCACCGCTCATACTCTCCACACGATTTTCTTCCGCATAACCTAAATTTGAGCATATTAAATATACGGGAATAACTATCACATTCATTTAAATCAAATCCAGAAAAAAAAAAAAAAAAGTCGTAAATGCAAAATTTTACTTTCCTACTCTACTAATAGATGAAACTGTAAAATGATAGAAAGACGTAAAATATTTGTCTCATGTTTTCAATTAGTGGTCTGAAAAGGTATTTTATGTCAATCATTTTGGTAGAGTAGGAAAGTAAAATTTTGCAACATATCAATCATTTTGGAGAAAATCCATACATACTATCTAATATTCTATCACAGTACAACTTCATCTGCTAGCTGAGCAATTAATAAAAGATAAATAAATATAAGAAATATATATCGTTGATTAATTTATCATAAACCTTTCGTTTCATTCATATTTTCGTTATATAAAGCACCGCGTACCCATGGTGGAATACTATGATTTCGCCAAGGTCTTCGACCAAACATAATCTAAATAAGTAATTGTTATTTTTTTTCAAATGCAAACTTCTTTTCATTTTTTTTTTTTTTTGCTCCTTTTTCTCATTCTTAACTTCTATAGCAAATAAAAAGGAAAAAAAAAAAAAAAAAAAACAAAGCTAAAACATCACCTCAAATGGTGAAATTCGAAGATCACCAAAACATTTAACCGGAGTCTGATTATAATCAATAACTGCAAATGGAAGTGCTTCAACCCAACGTTCACGGCCACCAAGTTCTTCCGCTGCACGCTTATACATACTAGCACAAAGATTAGTATGATTCATTACCTGAAAAAAATAATCTGAAATATAATTTGAGGATAACTTTCGCTGATGAAAAAGATCAGAATATTTAAAAGTGATTAATTATTTCAGGAAAATTTACAACTATAAGACTATATAGTCTAGTTCAAAAAAAAAAAAAAAAAAAAATTCATATTTCGGAATCGATATGACTCACTTACTAAGTTGATAAAAATGTAATAAAAACTATGGGTACTTACACCGCGTCCAATATTTTTAATTTCGATTTTGAACAATTTCTCGATATCCGATATAACAAGACCAATTACTTCATCATTTGTATAAGTTCGATAAGCTTCTAAAATTAAAATTCATTTCAATAAAATGCACATTAAACCATTAACGTAATTGAAAAGTAGGAAAATAAATAGAAAATACATTTGTTAGAAATATGCTTACCTGGTGGGGCAAAAGCTCCAAAAATATCCATTAAATGTCGAACAAGCAACGAAGTATCCGGTGCTTCAGCTAATGCTCGACCAAATACAAAATGAGAGTAAAGATCGGTTACAATTAATGCCATAGTATAACAACGATCTCCATATTCCGAACATTCCATTTCAACCATATCAATCTTAACGATTAAATAAATAAAAATAAGTCATTTGAGTTAAATTTCAGAAGCGTTTAACAGGATAATCAAATGCAAATGATGAAATAAAAAAAAAAGAAAAATTAGATATAAATGTTAGATATTAAAAAAAGATCAAATATAAAAATTACCGGATACAAATGATCAAATGCAAAAAAAAAAAAAAAAAAATAAATAATTAAATATAAAATGTATCTGACATTGCTATAGATTCATTAGATCATACATTAATACAACAATCATCATGAATTAACATAAAATGAAATGATAATTAAAATGATAGAAATAAAGGCAAAATGATCATAAACAATGCAATGTTATCAGTGATACAACAAAATCTTAATGCATTAAAACTAAAATATTCCTTCGCAAAATAAAAAATTTGCAGAAAAATAACAAACCTGAACATATTGCATAGGTTTACTTCCAATACAACGTGGTCTACTTGGAAATTGTACTCGTGATCCTTTCAGTAGAATATCTTTCGTTGCTGTTCGGTGTTTTGTTTTCAAACTTACACCCACATATCTTTCCTCCAGAAAAGCTAACATTTGTTTTTGTGTGCAATCTGGCATTGTTTCGTAGCATCGTCGCCAAATCTAAAAAAGTAGGTAAAATAAAACAAAAAAAAGAATTGAAACAAATCAGGTATAAAAATTAATAACCAATCAATAATCATAAAAATAATACATCATCAACTTCACTAATTCGTGGAACAATTTTTCCGGAATCACGTAATCGAATACGCCAACCAGATGATAAAAATTCATTCGGCTCTGACCAATACTCGCCAATAAGCAATCCTCCTTTCATTCGTGCCTACAAATAAACATTATATGAGTCGGTGTTATCAAATGAAGATAATACGGAAAAGTCGAGCTTACAATATGCAATTTTTTTTTTATCAAATTTTCTATTTTCTGTAAAGAACAAAGATACCTTAATAGCTTCTCTTAGAACAACATTTTCAACATCATCGATTTTTAATTTTCTGGTTAGAATTTGTGCCAGTACATCATATTCATTGTCCGGAATAGCCGTATTCAACAAATTTTGAGAAACGCCTAAAAATTAATCTAGGCTCTTACTCAAAGAAATATTAAACTGAGTTTCTATATATAATGATGCTTCAAATGCATTTTTGGAAAAAAATTTTAATAACTGAATTAAATAATAAGATTAGCAAAACCATACGTTACTTACAGGAGGGATAACCGTATATAGTGACTTAAATATTTTCAAAATCTGCTTTAATTTGCAGTTGGCCTACTAAGAATCTATAAGCAAACAAAAACAATAATAAAACTATCATCTAGAAATTATCACAATTTTTTACACAAGAAAAGCAACCTTTTTTTCGAGCAAAATTTGAACTGCTTCCAGGTAATACGAAATCATTAGACATACCTTCACCAGCAAAACCTTGAGCGATAGAGCTACCCAAACGTGGCACCGCATAATCTACGTCGTCCTCTCCTGCTATCACCAAACGACTCAAACAATCCATCAGCGTATTACGTAGCTGAAATAGATTTTGCAATTTCCTTTTTAATTTAACGTATTTATTACCTTCAGATAGCATAGATAGTACAATTACAGCTATCACTCACTGAAAAAAAAAAAAAAAAAGGAAAAAATTGAATTTCATACTGAATCTCTTATCATATATTTGGAAGATTGCACATTCGGATGTTATTTACATACATATTTCATTCCTTGTTGAACTAATAGCTCAAATTAAGAAATTATTTTCAGAATCAAATAATTGACTAACTCTGATAACGGAAGGGAACCCGATATAATTTTTCTGTAGCATTTGCAAGCAAGCACCAATTGGATGTTTATCATTTTTAAATCGTGCCACAGCAGATTCTATAACTTGTTCACGTTGTTCACTGGTTAGCAAAAGTCTTATGGAAGGTAGGTGAACGATCACGTAATCGAGGTGACCAAGGAATTCATCGTCTACATCACATGCTACCTAAACAACAATTCGTCCAAAATTAACTTTATCAAAATGAATTTTTGTCAAGAATATAAATTCTATTTTTTATGATGCCTAAAAAAAAATTTAAGTCAGCTTATTTCTTGATTATTTCAGAGACAAAAAGAAAAACAAGCAAATCAATAAATCTGAACGAACTGTATAATCATCTCCTTGAACCATTGCATCTAAAATTTGTCTATGTTCTTCAGCTGGTGGAACCACCTCCCCGCCAGTCATCAAAATAATGAAATCCGAGTAAATCGAATCCGTAATCTGGTCTACCTGCAAAACCATCAGTAATCTTTAGACGCAAGGAAAAGGCAAAGTGTAAAATTCGCAAAGAAATTAAAAATGAAAGAGAGACAAAGGAAATAGTAAAAGAATATAATTAACTCTCTCAAATGACAAAATAAAAATCACTTACAGTAATTTTGCATACACTTCCACACATGTCGGGTGCTACTTCTACAAAAGAATAGAATTTTGGACAAATAAATAATATGAGAAAATATATGAAGATGAAATTTAAATAAGATAGAATTTAAATAATAACAAAAGAAGAAAAAAACCCCAAATAATTCCTACAGAAAAGACAAGAACTGATCGTAAATCCATATCAAGATACTTTTCCTTACATTGCCAAATTTCACAACTAAAACATTATTCATCAAGATAATGAACTCTTCCTAGTGGAAAAAAAAAGTGACAAAAATAAACATTTGACTACATACTTGCTTTTGGAATAACTTGATACATGAAATGAGGTTGCGTAAAACTTAGTGAAGCAGATTCATTCGAATAATGATCATTTCTATTGCTACCTGTGCCCGAGGACGATTCCTGCAAATTGCAATTAACAATACAAAAAGAATGCTTCAATTCTGTCAAAACATGTCAAAAAAAAAAGGAAATAAATAGCTAGATGAAGCTTTGTTAGGTTTTTCAATAATATTTGGAGTATTCAGCAATCAAAATAACTAAAATAAACCAAGTAATTTTAAGAGCTATAATTTTTTGAAAAACTATAAATACAACTAACCTATTCACTCATTTCATTTTATTAAATTCGAACTGTATGATAGAATTTAAATAAAAATATCATTTAAATAAAAACATTAATGAAGTACCCTTGTAATTTGATTATTTTTGATTGATGTCGATTGACCGGTTGAATCATCGATGATAACATTAGCACCAACAGTCGGTATACATCTTGCATTCAATATCTGCTCTTCTTCTTCCCCTTCCTCCTCTTCCTCACCCAATGATATAGAAGCTGGATCAAGCAATGCCATAACAGCTAAAAAAAGAAACATTTTTATAAAATGATCTTTGATTTATTAACAAAATTTACGAATACCAGCAAATCTACAAATCTGTTAAACTTCAAAAAAAAGAAGAAAAAATAGAATAGCATTAAGTCAACTACGACTTAAAGTATTAAAATTTTTTTGCACAGATAAAGTTAACTTACACTGCTAAAGTTTTTCATGCTCATTTCTAAGTATGTATATATTATACCTAAGCTTTTTCATATACTAAACTCAACAAATAAAACAATCATTCTAATTTAAAAAAAGAAAAAATGAAAAAAGATGAAAGACAGATAGTACAGATGTTAAAATACAGTTAAATAAAATAACTTAAAGTTTGAGAATAAAAAAAAAGAAAAATATTCCAAAAATGGTTTGAAGCGAAGATAAAAAGATAAAAACGAGGAGATTTTGTCATCTAGAGATAAGAAGAGTGACAGAAAAGATAAATATGGCTTAAAAATGAAGAGTAAAGCACTAAGAATGGATGATGGCATTTATATAAGTCAAAAGTGCATTTCATAAATAAACCAAAAAATGAAAAATAAAAATTTTGAATCCGCTTTGGGTTCAGGTTCATCATGCTAAAAAAGCTCTAAATTTACATTTGGTTTTTTATATTTTACAGAATTACTTATTTAAGGTTTTTTTGTTTGTAATTTTTCCTGTTTTCATATTATTGCCAATAATATGCCAGAAATATTTTCTGATTTTCGTTGTTTTCATATTATCGTTTAATGTTTTGTTCATCTTCCGGTAACGGATTTCTTTGCTGCTTTCCAGTGTAACGGATCATTAATTCCGTTGCATTCCGGATAACGTATTCACATATTTTCCGATATAACGAACTATGAATTCCCTTGCTTTCCGGCGTAACAGATCAGTGTTCTATTATTTTCCAATGTAAGATTATAGATTCTCTTTCTTTCCGGCATAACGGATCATGTTTTTCCTTGCTTCCCGGTATAACAGATCACGTATTCTCTTATATAAGTCCATAGATTCTCTTACTTTCCGGCACAACGGATCATGTTTTTTCTTTGTTTTCTGGTATAACGGATCGTAGATCTCCTTGCTTTCCGGTATAACAAATCATGTATTCCCCTATTTCTCAATATAAGGTTTCTGATTTTCTTACTTTCCGGTATAATGGATATTCATGATCCTCTGCTTTCTGGCATAACGGATCATGGATTCCTTTGCTTTCTGACATAGTGGTTCCCTTTATTTTTCGGTGTAAACGGATCATGGATTTTCTTGCTTTTTGATATAACGGATCACAAATTTACTTGCTTTCTGGTATAACGTGATCATAAATTCCCTTCTTTCCGGTATAACGGATCACAGATTCCGTCACCTTGTGGTCTAATAAACACGTCAAAAAAACTACGATTTTCTTATGTGCTAACAAACTACGATTTCTTATACCATCCGGATAATACAGTAATGGCAGAATACATCATTTGTTACTATTAAATTTAATTACAGAACATAAAAAGAGTTAACAAAGTGTGAACGTTGTTAATGTACGATTTTCCGGAATGTTATACAAAATGAAACGCTAACCGATTATTAATTATCAACAATTTATCTTTTGGTTATCTCCAATGCGAGCTGTCATCCAGCGTGTCACAAAAGCTGCTGTCTCTATTGACGGTCAATTGGTCAGTGCTATTCAGCTTTTAAAATTAAATCTTTTTTTTTCTTTTGAATTAAAAACTTTCAAAAAATTTGCATTAATATTTTTGTGACAGTTATTTTCATTGTATTTATCATTTCAGGAATCATCAATTGGTCGAGGAATATGTGTTCTATTGGCTATCAATGTTGATGATACCTCAGATGATATACAGTTTATGGTACGGAAGTTATTAGGTATTCGAATATTTCCAAATATTGAAACAGGTAAACGATGGGATAAGAGTGTTAAAGATTTGGAACTTGAGATACTTTGCGTAAGTCAAGTAAGTTTCATTCATATTGCTTTAGTTTTAACACGAAAAAAAGAAGAATCACAGATTTATTTATTTATTTATTACAATTTGAATTGCTCTCTGAAAATAACTCGAGATTATTAAACTTGAATTTCATTTATGTTATTTCTAAATTTCTTCTCATAATAGTTCATTTTCCAGTTCACGCTGTATAGCTTACTGAAAGGCAATAAACTGGATTTTCACCGATCGATGTCTCCCACAGAATCACAAAAATTTTATCAAAATTTTATGGACGAACTGAAAAAGGCATATGTACCTGAACGGATAAAGGTTATTTCCACTTTTGCAATTGTTGTTTATTTACTCTTTTCCTGTGTTATTGGATTATTGTGCAAAACGAAAAGTTAAATCTTTAAAATATGTCGAACGGAACATATTGTTGCTTAGAATCCCTTATGATTTATTTCATGTTTTTAAGGCCAAAATTAAGCAGTTACTGAAATGAATCTGAATTTGCAGGATGGTCGTTTTGGTGCAATGATGAATGTTCAAATTGAAAACGATGGTCCTGTCACTCTTATTTTGGATAGTAAAATTAAAGAATAATCATTCTATTTGCATAGGCGTTGACGTCCATTGTAATATTAACCGTAGTAACTTAACCATTGACTATCTCATAATTTTTTTGTTTGGAAATTGTAAAAGCTCTTAAAATAATCTTAAAGCTACTTATGAATTGTTATCCTACCGCAGAATACTTAGTTGTTTTATTTGTATAACGAAAATAATCATTCCTGTTGGTATTCAAACAAGATCAGTTACTGTTGTTATAACACCTCAGAAAAAAGAAAGAAAAATTCTAATTTTATATTTCTAGTAAAATTAATTCAAGTTATGTAGAAGTTTTATTATTATTATTATTATTATTTTTTTTTTTTGAAATCATTTTTTATATTTCTATTATTTGCTTCTGCAATATCGCTGATAACGAAATTAGATTTGAGCCGAATATTGCAGTTAGAGTTGAAAATATATTTTTTCGATAGACCGTGTTTCAAGAAAAGAAAAACTACAAGAAATTTTACCCGAATTACAACCACTACAGAAACGAAACAAAAATAACCATTATCGAGTGAACGAATTGGTTGGAGCAGTACTAATATTATTCATGGTAATAATAGTATAAAAAATTAAAAAAAAAAAAAAAGAAATTAAAAAAAGAAGAGAACACTTATTAGGATGACAATGATAAAAAATTTTGTTTTTTTTTTTTTCAAAATATTAATGGAAGTACTTTAAAAAATGATGAGAAAAAGAAAAAAAGTTAAAAATTAATACAACCAAAAGAACACCTGAAAAATGAAAACAAATAAAATTATCGAAAACAATAAACAAGGTTTTAGGGTTGATAAAGAGCACTTCAAATAATATGATTTAATAAGCGGTTGGATTATTTTGCACTATGTGGCATATCATTTCGAGATCAACAATACATTTCAAAATAGGATTCAAAAAAAAAAAGGAAGCAAACATTGAAATCAACATATTTAACATGGAAGAAATATGAGAAAATTAATATGGAAAATATATACGAATTGATTTCAATCCCAATTTTTCTTTTCTTTTCTTCTTGAAAGATTATAATAATCATATCATTTTTTAAATAATACATAAAAATGATATTTTCTTTCATAATCAATCAGTGATTCCTGAGTTCTTCACCAGTGACTTTATTGTATTTTATTCTTATCTTATTTGAGAATTTACATTGTATTATTCAGAAGCCATTTCTTAAAAGCAAATTTTTCTTCTTTTTTCCGTTTCTTATCCGTAATAGATTTAATAAATACGGTTCCTCTTTTTTTTTTTTTGTTTTTTTTTGTTTTTTTTTGTTTTTTTTTCCTTTGTTTTTGTTTTTGTTTTTTTTTTTAAATAGATTCTTGATTGTTGAGCAATATAGATTGCAATTTAGCTGTTCAAGTGAATTTGACAATAATTTTCCTCATTTTATCAACTTAGTTAAGATTGACATGTTGAGATACGGAAACGGATGGAGCACCGTTTTGACCGGTTGATGAAGCGATACTTGTTGTAGCTGATGGTGATGAATTTTGTTGACATGTTGAATTTTGATTTGTTCCAGTCTGAAAATAAAATTAAAATTAACTAATATTAAATAATTTTTGATGCTTTGCAAGTAGGAATTAATTAATTTTTAATAAGATGAATGGATGAATAATAATAATAATGATAATAATAATAATAACATAAGAATAAATGAAAATGAAGATGATTTAATGTTCAATCTGATTATAATGTTAAATTACTCAAAAATTTAATTAGATTTTAAAATAATTTAATTAGTCACCTGATTAGTACTATTTTGTACGAGTGCTGTAGTAGTTGAATTGTTTGCTTCTCGTTCCTTTTTAAATTGTTCAAAATCATCGCCCAATATAGTTGCAATTTCACCCTGCATAAATGCCCATGGCATATGTGATCCTGCTAATGGGCATTTTTCACCTGACGGACAGTATACTTCCTGAAAAAAGAAATGCTAATAATTAATTAAGAATTTTAATATAATAAAAATTTTAATACCTGAAAATGATTTTTCATAACTTTTTCTCATTCAACTGATGTAATAAAAGTTGATATATTGAGGTATGGAAGTAGGTGAGGTACAATTCTGGTTAAAAAAGTAATATTTTGTTATAGCTGGGGTTTGTTTTTTTTTTATTATTATTTAAAATAAATATAAAAACACTGAGTCTTTTAACGATACATTATTTACTAGGCTTATTTTATTATTATTACTATTATTTAATATAAGATAAATATATAACACTGAATCTTTTAATGGTGCATTATTTACTAGGCTTATTTTATTACTATTATTTAATATAAGATTTTGCTAGCCTTATTATTATTATTTAATATAAGACAAATATACAACTGAGTCTTTTAATGATGCATCATTTACTAGGCTCTTTTTTTTTTAAATTATTATTAAATATAAGAGAAAATATACAAACCTGAGCACTTCCCTGTTTCTTAATGCTTTCACGTGAGCATGGGAAGCAAAATTTATGTCCTGAGACTGAAGGGCATTGCACAAAATGAGTATCTTCAAGGCGTTCATGGCATAAAGTGCACTTCACTACTCGATCACTGCTGTAAATTATCATTTCAAATCAATCTATATTATCAATATTTTCAATAAATTTCAAATTTAAAACATTAAAAGAAGGAAAAAAAAAAGATTTTTCTAAAAACATTAAAAAGAAGCAATAATAATTTAAATTATTGAATTAATTTTAAACTAATATTTTCATTTTCTCACAATGAAAATTTTCAATCTTTCTTCTTTTTTTTTTTTTTTTTTTTTTTGCATAATATTTCTGGAAATAATTTTTAAAAAAATGTGAGAAAAAAAAAATTACTTTTGTGAATTACTGAAACTTCGTCTATTATTGGAATTATTATTTGGATGATCTGGGCTATGTGTTGATGTTGGTGATGCTGAAGTTGTTTGTGCATCACCTAGAAATAATAAATAAAATTGTATATATATTTTTTTTCAGATCATAAACAAACAAAAAAAAAAAAGAAATTTTGTAATTTAAACAGTTTTATTCAGATTTTATGCAAATATTTACAAAATTATAATTTTATAGATAATATTTAACAAAATATTAGGGAATGTTATAATATTTTAATTTTAATTAATCATACAAATTGTTTAAATTACAACAATTTTCTTTTTTTTGTTATAATTCTTTTTTTCAACGAGAATTTAAAAAAAGGAGAAGAATTTTTATTCCTGAAAATTTGTTTAGTTATTTTCTTTAATATTACAATTTTATATATTACATTCTAATTTTAGAACCTAAAGTCTTTTTGCTTAATTATTTTTCTTAATATTACAATTATAAATATACATTGCATTTGTGTCTAATTTTATAATTGAAAGTTTAATTTTTCAATGAAAATAAAAAGTCTATAGAAATTTATAAATTTTTATAATTGTTGAAATTAATTTAAAATTATTATTATTATTTTTTTGTGTATTATACATTTATTACATTCTGATAAACTAAATGATAATTAATATCAAATAACATTTAAATTTATATCTGTCTGTGTATGTGACATGAGTGTAATTCATCAATTTCATTCAAATATTCTATAACCAAATATATTTTAAAAAATTTAAACAGAATCTTTCGTTTTTTTTTTTTTTTATTTTATTCTTTTTTTTTTCTTTCAGCAATTCAGAAATATATTTTAATTTTATATGTTTAAATCATAAAATGGAAATGAAGAGAAAAAGATGAATTTTATAAATGAATAATCATCTTTCTCTCTCCTCTCTTCCTAGGCTTATTTTGAAAATTTAATTTGATCCCTAATGTTTATATAAATATAAATATGATAGATATTATTCCATTTCAAAACATCATCTCTATCTGATGTCATCAAAGAGAGAGAGAGAGAGAGAGGGAGAGAGAGAGGGATGAACAGGAATAATTGCGATATAGTAGATTGGATGAAATTACGCAATTTTCTGAGATTATTTGCAAAAGTTCATTGGCCTAGTTGGCTGCTATTGAAATGAATCTTTTCATCTTTCTTTTCATTATATACTGGCATATATTATACATATATGTCTATCGGAATATTTCAAAACTGGAGCAAATGAAAAGAACGGAAAACCGGTTTTCATCATTCATCTCTGTCCTGTTTTCCTTCTTCATCGCTGTCTCAGTTTCCGTCTTATACCGCTCTTTGGAACGAAGTTCGTTGATCCATTTTGTTTGTATTCAATAACCTCTTTGAAGAAGTTTTAAGAAAGATGATATGGATTGTCGTTGTGTCATCAAATTTGAAAAGGTCAGCGAACGAAGTTTAAATTTTAAATGCTTGTAAATAAAGAGAGAGAGAGAGAAGAAGAAGAAGAAGAAGAAGAAGAAGAAAAGAAAGGTAAAAAGAAGGTAGAATGTTTAGAGGACTGATTGAATATTTTGAGGACAGATGATGATTATTTGTCGATTACGATTACCGAATGGTACAAACAACTTTTCGACCTCGAATTTTTCCCCTTCCACTTTTGACATACTACATACATACATCACATACATGCATACACATACATATACAGACACACACACACATTCAAAACACGTTTTTTGCTCATTTTTAATTTTAATTTAAAAATGATTTACATGAATGCATAAAGAAGAGAGAGAGAGATGAGATCATGTGACCTTAGGCAAAAAAAAAAAGTGGAAAAACTAGTTTTAAAGATAGAAATAGCTGAATGGTACAAACAGTTACGACACTGTTTAACTGTTTAACTGTTTATTTAATTGTCACACTTTGTATTTTCAAATATATTTCATGTAAAAAATACTTATGAAAAATGAAAATTTGATAAAAAAAAATTATATAAACTGTTTATGAGACAATTTTTCTTTTTTTTTTTTTTTTGAAATGTGTTATTAATTAATAATCAGCTAACTAATTAATTAATTACTTGGTTAAAGTGATATATTGTTAAACCAATAACTAATAGCTAAATGCATTGATAATTAATTTTGCAAACA